TACAAGGAGAAGGTTGTAACCTTTTATTGTCTTAAACTCATGAAGTAATGGTGGTTCTAATCAGAAGTGACTTGTGCTGCTGGGCTGGCCGGCTTATCTTTCATTTCACACAATTCGGATGCCTGCTGAGTCTGTCTCTTCTCTCTGATTTGCATATATTATCAGAAGAAGGGATCAAATAACTGCATGTTGGAGAAAAAAAGAAAAGCTTTTTTGAAGCAGGTGGCCAGTGTGATAGGAAGAAAGTGTAACATTGGACTAAAAATGTAAATTTGAGTTTTTGATTCCATGTTTGGGGCTCTGGCTTTTTTTTTTTTTTGGCTACAAATATTATTGAATAGTTTAATGACCGACTGTCTCTTCTTTCAAGTGATCACACTTTAATGTCTAGATATGCAGTGACAGCTGTTAAAACCTCCTGTCAGAATTCTCTTTGCGGCGGAGGATGTTGAGGCGCTTTGGAGCGATTCTATAGAACCTTTGGTTTGTATAATCACAAGGAACCATCTGTGTCCATGCTGAGTGCTGCTAACACAGATTTTGTGCTTTTGCGGAGTTCATTGTGTGTCTTGGCCTGATTACACACCCTATAAAGTGTATATAAACCCAAACGCTTTGTGTACGTGAACCCAAACAATGAACTTCTCTTATTTGATTACTTCTGGTCTGTTAAATATGTAATTGAAAGTGTTTTGTTAAGCTGGCCATGGATATATTGAAAGTCGTCTGGTTCATCAAGGACCTACCGGATTTTGATCCATTTGTGGATGCTCTCTCTCAACAGATCTAAGATAGTTGATTTACCCAATTGAACGGACTTGTTGGAAACGTTTTCTCAATCAGTGGCTGCAGCCCATTGGAGAGTCTCCTTGTCATAAATTGTCTCAGTGCGGACGATTCCTCTAACCACCTCGATTTGTGTGCATGAAGGACTCCGTCTTTTTTTTTTTCTGCCCGGAGGTGGGGGGAATCCATTTATGGCCAGCTTTGTCAGTTTGTTTGATAAGCACAAAAAGCGTTATCCCTCTTGCACCGTAATCTAGTTTTATTTATTAATCCTGCCAGTAGATGAATTATTATTCCCTTTATTTTAAAGGGTTAGTTTTACCTTTTCAAAAAACGTGAAAAGGTGAACTAACTCGCAACAATAGTTAAAGGAGCTGTCAATCCACCATCATTAGATTGGAAGAAAACATTAATGTCGTTTACACAGGAGGGTGACAACATTTCTGCAGCTCTGGCACTTGGTAGGACAGTGTTGTCACTGTATTTAGGGATGGCCACAGAGAGATTAGAAATTGAGGATCAACAGGTATTTAGTAATCTTTTATTTACACAAGTAGAAAAACCATATTGCTTTGAGAGGTGACAACTTGTATAAATATTTGGGATTTCTTTCACTTTAAGAGACTGCACACGTTATTTCTAACGTTTTTTTAATTCGACAACTGTTGTGGGTGGAGTCTGAAATTTGTTAAAATAAACGCAATTAACTGGTGGCAGTCACATGATACTTTTTTTTTTTTTTTTCCCCCTACCCAAGTACACCATTTAGACCAGGGGTCTCCAAACTTTCCAAACAAAAGGCCAGTTTACTGTCCTTCAGACTTTAGGAGGGCCGAATTGTGGCCAGTGGGGGTAGAAAATGTCCCTGGCCCAGCATCCATAAAAATAAACATGGCCTCAGCATTGGAGGTCAGTAGGAGGAAGAGTAATGCCTCATCATTGGTTTCAGTGGAGGAAATCGTGTCCCAATGTTTGTGTCAGCGGGAGGAATAATGCCCCAAGGGCCTGATAAAGGGTTGCAGTTTGGGGCTCCCTGATTTAGATTCTACTGTAGGCCCACTTTAGGTTGAAGACCTTAATTAGAACATCTGCCACAAAGCTCCTCCTTGGTACCTTCCTACAAATGGGCAGGTCCACTTAAACCTACAATGTCTGTGCTTGCAAGGACTTGCACCCAATACTTGGCTTCATGCTTGCCAATGTTTAACCACTTGAGTTAGCATGTTTACCTCTTCATTACAAGGCCATTTTTCAGTTTTCTGTGCTGTCAGTTTGACAGTTATTACTGTGAAGCTACACTGTGGCCAAATTGTATAAAATTTACATTACAATTGTATTATTGTATTTGTACAATTGTATTTTATATAATACAACTGTATAAAGCAATTCAAATATAAATGGAGACAGATGGAACTTTCCTTTTTGGTTTTGAATTTTTATGGAAAAATAAAGAACAAACGTGTTTGACAGCTTATACTTTATTGTATGGAGGTCAGTGGCACTTTAATCTCCCCCTCCCCCCATCCTTTTGTGGACTTTATTGGTGAGACCCTTGTGCTTGAATTCCTGGGGCTGCACAAGTGATGTGGCCATTAGGAAGGCAGCCTGACTTTCAATATTTTGGTTCACTTTGTTTTAGAGAATCTAAAGCGCTTTTGAGACAGGTTTGAACACCTAGAACTCAAAGAAGCCAGGGATGCACCTACAGCTAAAAATAATTTTGGGCGGACTGCCATCTTGATCAGTATTTTTCCTAATGTATGATGCTTCAATAAAATGAAAAGTTTCATCTTCAAGTCCTGTTTCAGACATGATGGGTAAATTTCTGTAGATCAGTTTCAGAAACCTGAAAATGTCTTTGGAATGTGCTGACACAATGTCAGTGTAAAGGATATGGAGTCTTGTGAGCCCAAGGCAATTTTTCCATTCTCCTCATAGCCCAGTGATTTTAATATGAAAAACTCTTCTGTGCTTATGACATCATTTACATAAGGGAACTAGGGCTAATTTAGGTACACAGGATAGACTTTCCCTAACTGAAGTAAATCTGCTGAACAGGCTTTTCACTAGCGAAATACCAGAAATTTTAAAAAATGCTTGTCTTTAACAGTTAATGTTTTTTCTTGGTTTTTACACACCAAGTAGTGCCCCTGATGGTAAGAAAAAATCCCAACCAATCTAGTTCCAAAAGAGTGAACGCTCAGCTCCATTAAACAGAAATCTTTCACCAACGTCCACTGAGAAACCAACACTCCTGGGGGTGAAATCCTGCACCACAGTCCACTGAAAACTAATGCTTCCAGAGGTGTCAATCTTCTTGGTCCCCACACTGCTCAGCGTTTCCTTCCTCCAACCGCAACGTCCCTATTGGAGACAATGGTGACGTGAACATTGGCAGGAGAAACCACTAAGTGTTGAGGTGGATCCAGGACATCGACCCTTTCAGAAGTGTTGGTTCCTCAGCAGATGTCAACTAAGGATTTCTTGAACAAAGCAGCATCCTGGTGGTGCAGGCAAGTAATTAATGCGGGTAACACCTAACTGGGAGGGTTTTGTTCTACTGTCAAGGTTGTTACAAGCCTACTTTTTTACATCTGTGCTTTTCCAGTGGTTCCACGCATAGTAAATCCATTTTTACATTGGGTTACCATTCATTCCTGAGAAAACCGCACCTGAGGGTGCCACAAGAAAAATGTTTATGGTATACGTTAACATGTTCCTAAACCCACAACAGTAAAATCTGTTTGTATATGCAGTAAAGCACGCTTGTTATAGTCTCTGTGGAACATAATGGGTTAATCATGTGCAGTGTGTAAAAAGGCTGTTTGACCCTGACTTCTCTGATCCTCCCCTTCTTCCAGTGTCCCTTCTTATCTCATGATAAAGACATATTGTGTGGAGTCACTGTGCATATGCTCAGTTTGGTGTGTATTGCTAGAGAGGGGTTTTTTTTTGGGAAGAGGGGGGGGGGTGCATGTGATCAGCACAGGGCCAATCAGCAGAGGTCAGGGAGATTTCATCCTCCTAGAGAAGAATGAAAATTAAAACTCCTCCTACAAGCTTTAACATGTGCTCTGATGGACACTGGTAGAAGTCACAAGACTGCTCTAACTGCTGAGAAAAGGTATTTAGCAGTTTATATTTACTAAATTGCACTTCCATGTTCTGTGTACTGTGGGGACCAGATGTAGTGAATGCTGGGTCCTGGGTTTAGTGACACTTTAAGACCGTAGAGAGAGGGGCAAAGGATTAACGGAAGTAACTCAAGACAGCTAATGATCAGTACGTGTGAATCTTTTGTCTCCAGTTTAATTCCTTTTGGTTTGCTTTGGTTCATTGTTTTTTACATAGCATCCAGTCAATGTATCTTACTGCTAACTCATTTCAAGCGAGGCTGTGCAGCCAAATTACAGTTCTTATGCAGGTATCTTTTTATACAGATATGGCAAAGTTGACACAAAAACACAATTTGTGTCAATTTTATATGATTATATGTCTTCTGACCCGCAGGACATTGTCCATTAGAATTTGTGCAAATGCAGTTGTTGCAAAGTCATGGTATATGAAGCCATGGTGCCCACAATTTCTCATATTTACCGGGACATCCCCTATGCTGGTAAATAAGATTCCAATCAAATGGTCTCGCCTACAGAACAGGTCCATGCTTCTCTGACTTTATCCAGATGAATGGTTTGCTGTGGTTACTGCATTTTGCCACTTTTGCATTTTTAGAAAGCCATTTATTGTACATAATTACACTATTTATTGTATTATATTGTGTTGTATAAAATTACAATATTTTATTCCTCTCTGGGGTCTTTCTGTAGTTTGGCATGGCATTGTAGAAATTGGTGAGCCTGTCCAAGTTATGTACATTCCACCCAAACTGGAAAGGATCTGTTTTTGGAAGGTATTTGCCCTGTAAGTTGCCAATAGACCATATATGGCTTTCACCTCAGTCCTAACCATTTTATCTCAATCGGGTGACAAAAGACTCATGTTCCAAGGTAATTTTTTTTTTTTTTTTTTTAATGGTTGGACTTTTGTCTTTTTTTCAGCCAGACTAACTTTTCTGGTATAAGCCTTCATTCAATTTTATCTCTTGTGAAAAGTTGATCAGACAGGTAGGATTTTCCTGGCCAGTTTTTTGCTTTTTCATGGGGCCCCTGTGTCCTCGCCCACACTAAAACCACACCCAAAAAAGCCTATGAAAGGTACCAGGGGCATCTCATGGGGCCCCCTACTGACCCCGGGCCCTCGGGCAGTGCCGAGTTATCAAATGGTCAGTCCGCCCCTGCTCCCAGCATGTCTTTTATTATACTTAGTATGGTTTTGGGTCAAGTGGGAGATGATTGGCTAGTGCTGATGTCACTGGAAAAGTCTAGTTCTGTTTATTAGATGTTTGTTGCTTCAGTCCCCTGATTGGCCTGGAAGCATTAGGTGGCTTTTCTAGTGGAGGATATTGCCAACATTGCTGGCACCAAAATATATTGCTTCCGTAAGGAACTAAGTTTTATCTACTATTTTCACACGTTTTATGCTTGGAGTTCAGCTTTAAATTGTATTGTGTGACCATACTCTTATTTTGTGAATTCATCTTTCAGCTACATCATTTCACGTATCATTACCTTTTTATTTAATAAAGTCTTTGGGCACCATAAAGAGATAACATTCATTTTTGTTTTTTATTTTTTTTGGCCACCATCCATAAGTGAGATGCAATCGCAGAACAAATCTGGGGGATAAAAAAGCAAACCCATCTTTCTGAATTTCTCCTTCAAAGGCAGAAATTAAATGGAGTGTAAAAATGCCAGTAATTATTTCAGCAGAGAAGTACTTGAAACTTTTGATCTGGATGTCTGTCCTGGAAACATAACCCCATCGTGCTATTTATGTTTGAAGTCAGGAGAGGAGTAACAGCTTGTATGCTTTGATCATTGTCCGGCTAAGAACAAGTTTTCTTTTTCATGTCGACCACTATGTTGAATTACATAGGTGACTCGGAGACCCTCTTGCAAGGGGTCAGACTTCTAAAAAAAAAAAAAAAAACCACAGCTCTGCAGAAACTGCTTTTTTGCTAGGATTAGAAGCACAATTGGATTGATAATGTCTTCTGCTGGCTGTAGATTGTTGGTGGCCTAGCAGAAGATAATGATGCCTCATAAATAAAACCTTTCAAGATTTAGGAGGCCTCACATAAAACCTACCTATCCTCCAAACGATCACTTTGCATCATACTTGGATAAAACAGACAGGCAAAAAAAACTCTGAAGGCCAGGTTCCTGCAGTAGCCACTGTGGTGATCCATGTTCTTGGTCTTTGCTCTGGTCCATTGCTGCATCCTTCATGAAGCCCTAAAGCATTTTGACACTTTGTGTTGGATTCCCCCTTGTCTCCTCTGCTGTGTGCTATAGTTGCACCCTCCAGCCCTGTCTTTGTGCTGTGCCCTGTAGCAACATAGGATTTAAAGTGCATGCTGATTAAACGGGCATACAACACTCCTGGGAGTGGTAAATGGTGTAGAGAGGCTCCTGGAGGCTGCAGGGCTGGAAAAGAGGAAAGGTTGGAAACATGGTATCCAGGGAGGTGGTTTTAAGTGCCCTAACACTGCACTGAACAGGTCTTTTTAGAGGTGGGGTGTTTTTTGTTTCCCATTTTTTTTTCCCTGCATACAAGATATTACAAAGATCATTACTGTTGAAGCACAAATGTACCTATACAGTCAGGATAACCGCTCTTTTCAAAACCAGTCACCTCCAGCCTGCTCGGTGGGCTATGAATGATCATCGCCCCACTGATGACATTTCCTCTTAAGTCTGCCTAAACTCTTTGCCCCTAGTACCTGAAACATGATGGTTGTTCAGTAATGTGATTGCGCTATTAAGTCTCTTGTGTGATTTAAACAAGAAGGTATACAACTAATCCTGTAGTGAACAATCCCTCTAGCACAGGCTTTCGGCCTACATCCATGCTCCGGCTGGAACCACCAGCTTGCACTGGAGGGACACCATTTTGGCATTGTAGAAGATCAATATGTATCTACTTTGAAGAAATAAAAACCTAAATTGGAAGTATGGAAGTGCAGCAATCTTTTGGATGTTTTAATAAATAGAGAACTGAGCAGAGATCAATTATATCCGCAATCCTGATGCCTTGTCTGATACACTTGAAAAGCCTTTTCCATAGAATTTCCTTTGCAAGTGTTTTTGGGGTTTGTTTTTTTTTTTTTCGATCAGTGGTCTGCAGCCAATCTACTCTAGTCACTGATCAGTGTATTCTGACAATGGACAGTCCCTGCTGTCAGAATACAATGTCCCAGGACGTAGGAGGGGATACGCTATTCACAAAAACACGGGGAGAACATGTAAACACCATGCAGATAGTGTCCTGCCCATCCCCCCAGATACACATCAGTGATGGTCAGTCTTGTGCAGCCCACAGTTACTCTGTATTTTGCATTAGTTGTATATAAATATAACTCGGCAAATGTTTGGTCACCTGAATTGGGACATGACTGGTTGCTGGAACCTTTGGTGCATAAAGATAAGTGTTCACTACTACTGTCTTGTGATCAGTGTGATCAGCGTTAAGCCCAACACTCCATTCAGGACATTGGTTTCTCTGGCCCACATTGTAATCCTACATCTACATCAATCACATGTTCTTGGAAAGCTCTAACCTTTGCTTTGCTCTGTTGTAGAACATACCCTGAACAGAAATGGAAACTGTGTTTGTTTGAAAAGCAGGCACCTTGGAACTGATCCTGTCCTATGTGGTAGATAACTTGCCAAAGAAGAATCCAACACCACCGCAAAAACCTTTTATTTCATGTGGATAATATATAAACTAACACGATTTGTAAAGGTAAAACGTGTTTTAAAAAAAAGTATACTTGCCTGTTCTGTGTTTTGCACAGAGCAGCCCCAATCCTCCTCAGTTCCTCTACCAGTGCTCCTGGCTCAACCCCTCTGTTATATTCCCCCATAGAAAGCCTCTTCCTATAGGGAACACATGCAGGCTCACTCCTGATCCGTGCTCTGTCCACTGACACACAGTGTGACTTGGCCACACCCCTGCTCCTTCCTCACTGGGTATGGATTCACAGCAGCGGCCAATGGCTCCCTCTGCTGTGCCTGAGCCAGTGAGGAGAGTGAGAAGGGATGCTGCTCTTGACCTCACATATAGATCCGGTCCAAAATCCACAAATTCACTCTTCTTCTGTTATCACAGTTTAAAGTGGAAGTCCACGGTTTTCCTAAATTTACCTGAATTTGCTTTCACCCCCATTCTAACTCTGAATTACACTGTAGCAGGAAGATGCTTATATGGACTTAATCTGAGGGCACTTCAGTCCAGCCATAGTAGGCTCCCAGCAACAGCTTCAGTGGAGAGGTGGAACAGCTGACAACGTATGCCCCATAGTAAGCCTATAGGTGACAGGCATTTCAGCCATTGTTGATCTCTTCTCTCCCTTGAAGCTGGCTGCTGGGGAGATCGTGTGACCGGACCGGAGTGCTCTGAGAATAGGTAAGTATAAGCATCTTCCTCTTTACAGGGTAGATAGAACCACTTTAATCTTGCTCTTACCTTCTATTCTGTTCTAAAGTCTCAAGGTTTTTTACCTTCATGCATTCCACTAACACTTACCTGAGCCCCCTCTTGATCCAGCAATGTCCATGAGAGCCTTGGTTCTCTGAGGACTCTAACTCCTGATTGACAGCAGCAAGAGCCAATGGCTCCCACTGCTGCCACAGCCAATCCGAGCCAGAGAGCCAATCGAGATGGGGTGGCATGGAGCCACAGCTTTGTGTGTCAATGGACATGCAAAGCTATGGCTCAGGAGCTGTCTGGGTGCCCCCTTAGCAAGCTTTTTGCTATGTGTGGCACTGGACAGGAGGGAGGGGCCAGGTACGCTGGAGGGGGACCTGAGAAAAGGATCTGGGCTGCTGCTGTGTGCAAATTCACTGCACAGATCAGGCAAGTATAGATATGTTTGTTATATTTAAGAAACAAACAAGACTTTAGTATCACTTTAGGCGTATTCCTAAAAAGGCTGGACTTCCACTTTAGGTAGCCCTTCTAATTGTCAATCTTGGGACTACAGAATGATTAGTTATTGTTGTGGACAGTAGGATATGGTGTGGATTTGAGTATTAGCAAGAAAGTTGACACGGATGACACCACTCAATCCATATAAATTTGTGTTGTCAATCCACAAGGGGCTTAGGAGCTGAATGCTTTTCTGACAGATCAGTGAGTCTTTGAAAAAGGTATGATTATTTTGCCCTGTCATACATTTTAAAGGAGACGTTCACCTTTGGAACAGCATGTTCCAGTATCTGCAGCCCCCCAATTTCCGCCCATGACAGCAGGCGGGTATCTTCTCTCTGTACCTGCTGTCAGTTTGAAAATAGTGTGGTTGTGTGGGGCTCTGCTCATTGTGGATAATGGCGTGTAGTTTTCAAGGATCTATGAGGAGGCTGGTGAGCGCTCTCGTAGTCCATTGATCATCCTGGTGAGCGCTCTCGTAGTCCATTGATCATCCTGGTGAGCGCTCTCGTAGTCCATTGATCATCCTGGTGAGCGCTCTCGTAGTCCATTGATCATCCTGGTGAGCGCTCTCGTAGTCCATTGATCATCCTGGTGAGCGCTCTCGTAGTCCATTGATCATCCTGGTGAGCGCTCTCGTAGTCCATTGATCATCCTGGTGAGCGCTCTCGTAGTCCATTGATCATCCTGGTGAGCGCTCTCGTAGTCCATTGATCATCCTGGTGAGCGCTCTCGTAGTCCATTGATCATCCTGGTGAGCGCTCTCGTAGTCCATTGATCATCCTGGTGAGCGCTCTCGTAGTCCATTGATCATCCTGGTGAGCGCTCTCGTAGTCCATTGATCATCCTGGTGAGCGCTCTCGTAGTCCATTGATCATCCTGGTGAGCGCTCTCGTAGTCCATTGATCATCCTGCTCTTAAGTAACTGCCGGCCCATACAGGAGGTAGGGGCAACAACTATGCTGAGTGTGCAGGAGCCTGAGATTGCACCTACGATCACTGATCATGGGTGCAATGCTCTGGAGATTCCATAGAAGAAAATTTTGCTTTTTTTTTTTTTTTATCTGCAAAAAATGTGCATTTTTTTTTCTTTTTCAAAGGTAAATGTATCCTTTTAAGGTGGGCTGGTAACACAAGGGCTGAGTACTTAAGCAAGTACTGTCTCATGCCACTGCAACTGAATAGCTTCTGTACATGAATCTTTACAACTGGTGGGTATACTGGCTTCTTTACATATAGTGCTTGGTA